GGATCAATGAATTGTGTTATTAGCTATAATGGAGATGCACAATTCATGTTCAGTCCCTGAAACTCTTGGGACACGGTCTCTGGGGACCACAAGCGTGATATGATTAACCCAATAGAAAGGGGGCAATAATGAAAGACAGGATTGGAAAGCAATCATATTAACTGGGTTTAATGTGAATTCTAGGTCAGCGGCGAAGAAATGAAATTTGAGGCAGTGCTGGTGGTTTCCTTGACTATCTTGCCCGTTTGGCATATGAGAGCAACAAAGATGATTAGGGGACTGGAGGCTAAAACATATAAGGAACGGTTGCTAGAATTGGGTATGTCTAGTTTAACGAAGAGAAGGACGAGGGGGGACATGACAGCAGTATTCCAATATCTCAGGGGCTGCCATAAAGAAGAGGGAGTCAAGCTATTCTCCAAAGCACCTGAAGGCAGGACAAGAAGCAACGGGTGGAAACTAATCAAGGAGAAAAGCAACCTAGAACTAAGGAGAAACTTCCTGACAGTGAGAACAATTAATCAGTGGAACAAGCTGCCTCCAGAAGCAGTAAATGCTCCAACACTGGAAGTTTTTAAGAAGAGACTGGACAGCCTTTTGTCCGAAATGGTGTAGGGTTTCCTGCCTGACCAGGGGGTTGGACTAGATGACCTCCAAGATCCCTTCCAACTTTACTACTATTACTATTACCCTGGACAGGTTAATGGAAAGTCAAATGAAGTCCTTAATATGTTACATATTTGAATTATATGAAAATACAAAGGATAGGGAGGGTCAACATTTTTATATTCGTTATCAGGAATCATAGAGCTGGAAGAGACCTCATGGGTCTTCTAGTTCAACCCCCTGCTAAAGACAGGAGAGATTATATCATACTGGTCAAATCCAGTCCATTCTTGAAAACGCCCAGTGATGGAGCACCCACAACCCTAGAAGGCAACTTATTTCATTGATTAATTGTTATCACTGTCATAAAATTTCTTCTAACTTCTAGGTTGGATCTATCTTTGACAAACTTCCACCCATTACTTCTTGTCCTGCCCTCCCTATAGAATAAGTCAATCCCCATATCTTTGTTACTGATTTGCAAGTACTGGAAGACGTGTCCTCCCAATCCTTCTAGACATCCTAGACATAGACTAGACATACTTATTTCCTCAACCGTTCATCATGTGATTATGCCTCCAGAACCTTTATGATCTTTGTTGCTCTTCTCTGCACACTTTCTAGGGTCCCAGCAACTTTTGTGTATCATCATTTAATAATAATAATAATAAAGTTGGAAGGGACCTTCAATCTATCCCAAGTCACCTCTGTGAACTTTCAGAAAGTTGAATGGTGCATTAATAACTTCATAAGGATGTTAACAGTAGAGATGAGACTTCCAAATTATTCTGGTCGACTCTTTCATAACTTTGACACTTTCTATATGGGTGGACTTCAATTCCCAGAATTCCCCAACCAGCTTATCTACTGCTGAGAATTCTTGGAAATGAAATCCAGTCATAAAAAAAGATGCCAATGTTGATGACTATTAAAACAGTTTGCATTGCCAGGAAACTCTTCCTAACCTTAAGTATAAATTCTTACAGTTCAACCCCCTGGAACAACGGAAAATAAATGTGCTCCATCAGCGATGTGATAAGTGACACAACAGGACACAAGAAGGTCATGGACTGTGAACAGAAAACAAGTGAGGACAAGTCATAGAGTTATAGAAAGTTGATTCTAAAAGTGTTTAAGGTAAGAAAAGATAATGGTGGATTGTGCCTTAGACATTTAAAAATTGAACGAATTTACCGGATGCATTGAACTATTGGACAGCTCACCAGCCCATCCAAAAAGCTTCCATTTTGTCTCTAGTATATTTATGCAGGAAATTTTACATTCTGCCATGCTTCTCTGTATCCTCTTTCTCTATAACTTGTAATAAACCCTCCAAATGAAATTTATTGGGTCAAACGATATGAAATATCTTATTATGTTGCTAACAATATTTTGGGCTTTCATACAGAATTTTGAATAATATTATATCCCCAAATACTCAGATAGGAGCCACTTTGTTTCTGTATCCCCTCTAGCAATTTTCATTGATATTCCGATATAATTTATTAAACTTGACAGGCGTGAGATCCCATCCTGAAAAAAAGTAGGCTTCCTTTAATGGAGCTGAGCTGAGCTGAGAACATCACAGCTTGATTTTCTGTCCAAATAAGGTTCAAGAGTATTTGAAATATCTAAAGAGAAGAAGCATCAATATCCCCGTCAACTAATATATTTGCCTTGTTGTCCCCTAAATATTTCTACGTGAAAATGCTCTCTCTTTTCTGCTTTTTACTCAAGCTCTAGAGATAACCGTAATAGATGATAAAACGTCCCTTTAGGTAACAATTTCACATTATGAACAATGCATTTCAAATCTTATCAAATGATATGGTCTTACTGGACAACATAATAAGAGCAAACACAATACCTGATGTGTAAATTGAAGAGAGATTTGAAAAGAGAGAAAGAAAAACCGAAACGTAAACACATGAAAATTAATCATAATCAAAACAATTCCAGCAGTGTGACTGAATGGCTTGAAAAATCTTTCTCAGCCCTCAGTCAAGAGTCAATTGGATCAAATAGTGTCAAAAACAGCACACCAACTATCCATCCTTGTAGATTTGTCCTTCCAGTGTTGTGTACTGTAGTTAATCCCTTGGATACATCTTCAATTTTATGTCTGAGGCTCTTTATTTAGGAGCTGAGTTATTCTGAGGCTGCATTTTATTATTTTGTTCAGCAGCCAGTTATAGGCACCTGGAAAATAGGACTATTGCTATTACAACTACCAGATTTATAGTTTTCCTTCCAAGAGAGATATCGACATACACAACACTCCTTCCAATTTTTTTAACAACCCCTGGGTGTTAGGCTGGGATGAGAGAAACCTCCGATTAATTTCCATGGGTGGATTAATCCATCGTATTTAACCTTGTTATCTCAATGTCTTTTATAATTTTGCATTAGAAATGGGGAGGTGAACCTGCCCAAAGCAATTCTAGTTATTTCTCGAAGTCATGATGAGGGACCTGGGGCCTTCTGTGCGGTCAAGACAGGATAGGATAGGTGGAACTTGTGCTGGAGGATATTTCCAAAAAGGATGACCCCAGATAGAAGAAAACAGAAAGAGGAGAGTGGCGCAGTGGTTAGAATGCAGCATTGCAGGCTAACTCTGCCCAGTGCCTGGAGTTCGATCCTGAACGGCTCAAGGTTGACTCAGCCTTCCATCCTTCTGAGGTTGGTAAAATGAGGACCCAGATTGTTGGGGGCAATAGGCTGACTCTGTAAATTGCTTAGAGAGGGCTGGAAAGCACTGTGAAGCGGTATATAAGTCTAAGTGCTGTTGTTATTGCTACTGCTAAAATGTTTTCATTGCCCAAAACCTGCAGCAACACTATTCTTGATTCTAAACATTACTCTGAAATTGAAATCCTGCACGACTGGTACTATTTCTTCATTATAGGATTTCCACGGTGCTAATAATAAATGGCAACCGAAATGCAGGTGTTTATGCTCTTCCACTCACTCCAGATCTTTAGCAATCTAATTAGCAATCACCGTGGCATGAGAACTCAATTTTAGCTCACCTGAAAAGTCATCTTGGCTAGGAATGCATGAAGATGAAACGGCTTGACTAACTGTGGCACTCCAATCTAGTAATTGTTTTATTCGGGAGCACAACGGAGGTTAAGTTGTCTACCAAAGGAAGGGAAGATGGGGGCTAGGAACTGAGGCACCTTTGTTTGGTCCTGACTTGTAAATGGAAGAAAGTTGTTTATTTATTTCTTTTAGAGAAGGGCAAAAAGGAAACATAAAACCACTGTCGTCCTGTTTTCTGCATCATGCTCACTTTCTTAAATGTTCAGCTCACTCAAGTCCATCCATCACTTGTCCACTGACTCAGACCCCCAGGGTCCCTTCCAGCTCTATTCTATTCTATTCTATTCTATTCTATTCTATTCTATTCTATTCTATTCTATTCTATTCTATTCTATTCTATTCTATTCTATTCTATTCTATTCTATTCTACTCTATTCTAGTCTGCATTCTATTCTATTCTAGTCTGCATTCTATTCTATTCTATTCTAGTCTAGTTTGCATTCTATTCTATTCTACTCTAGTCTAGTCTAGTCTAGTCTATTCTAGTCTGCATTCTATTCTATTCTATTCTAGTCTAGTCTAGTCTGCATTCTATTCTATTCTATTCTATTCTATTCTATTCTATTCTATTCTATTCTATTCTATTCTATTCTATTCTATTCTATTCTATTCTATTCATCTAGTCTAGTCTGCATTCTGTTCTGTTCTACTCTATTCTACTCTATTCTTAATGCGCAGTTGGGTCCTGAGGATGTTTTAAGGGGTGATGCCCCCTTCTTTTTCCATGGCTTTTATGAAGTGGTGCTGCTATGTGTGGTCCAGCAATCAAGATTCACCTTACAGCAGATGTTCCCAAACTTTGGGGCACCAGAGACCGGTTACATGGAGAAAGGTTTTTCTGCGGATCGGAGGGTGTGTGGTTTTGTGTGCTGCCTGCATCCCGCGAATGGGGCTTTGCTTGTTTGTGCGGCCCAGTTGCTGGCATGTTGTGGCCCGGTACCGATCCACGGACCGGGAGGTTGGGGACCTCTGCCTTACAGTACTTATTTATTTATTTATTTAGAAAATGTATACAGCCGTCTATTCTCGCACAGCTTTTTCTAGGTGGCTTACATGGATCTTTCAGGAGTAGATTGACTGATTGATTGATCCCAGACAAAGGATAATTAAATGTGAATATGGCAATATTATTACATGAAAGAGGCATTATCAGAAGACCAATGTATCAATGTTAAAGAGAAAATAATTTTTAAACACAGTTGTGCACAACAACCTATGGTCGCTGCAGGTTCCTCAAGCGAAAAAAAAAATCCACATAATATTGTGTGCTGCAATACTTCACGTTCACATACCTCACACTCATGGCTCCCACTCCACCGAGAGTTGCCATCTCTGGTCTACCTGATTTCTTCCAACTCTGGGACTGCATGATTTTATCTTGAAGGCTGGAAGATGCTATTAGGCTTCAGAGTGGTGGGATCTGAAAGGTGGAAACCATAAAAACACAGTATAGAAAAAAAAAAAAGAATAACATTTAAAAAAACAGTGCATATAAAAAATAACCCCCCAAAAACCATCCCGCCCCCCCGATGACAAAACACGGTCAAATAAGCCATTGGATGGGCTCCCTCACACTCTGGGTTCCTCAGGCCCACTTGAAGATGCCCAACGTCCCTTCCAACTGTTATTCTTTTATTCTAGTACTTAAGATTCTGTTCTTATTATGCAACTTTTCTCATAACAGTGCAAAGAATTAAGCAACGTTCCGCTGTCACGAATCTGGCAGAATAATACAGTCACGAATGTCAAAGGCCATGATCAAGTCAACATCCCTTGTTCCCTCCAGCCATTTCTTTTCTAGAAAGCCAAAGTTCCACTCCTAAATGCTAGCAGCTCCGAAGCGGTTTTCACGTTTATGAAAAGGAACTTAGGAGGGGGAAAGAAAAAAAAAAAGGGCTCTTTTTACATTTTTAATCATGCCAGTTCCCAGGTTAGACTTTCAGCTGGAGCTTTTGGCCAAAGGCTTTAGCTCTGGCCCAGCTGCGAAATGCACTAGTTCATCACGTTGATGCTACGGAGAAAGTTAAAATGGTAATCCGTATCAAAGCATCCCTGACATCCCAACTTCTGCTTGAAGACATCCCGTGAAGGAAAGCATGTTGACCTCATGCATATTCATTCTGCAAGGCAATTTTAGCTAACCAAATATCAGGGAGTTTATTCACACCGCAATCTCACCATTCTGGGGCCGCATCTGCTTGATGAGACAGTTGTGAGAACGCCATGAATTGAAACGGTACAAAATTGGACTAACCTTGCCTGCGCCGTACCTCTGCGTAAGAAGATTTTCCGCCCGCCTTCAAAGCACGCTATTTGCATATTTATTGCCTTCTTTATTGGTGTTTCTCACCTTTATTTACCACTCTGCCTATTCTGTTCCTGCCTTATCATAATGTTCCTTAAGCACAGCTACTTTGTGCCCCGATGAAGGACACCGAACAAATTTCACACTGTTTTCCTTGTCAGCATTACAGAGTCAACCATGGAGGTTATCTACTTCTAAGGGTGTTGGCTGCCTGGATTCTCTCTGTTGCTTCCTCCCTCTTTCCCTTGGCTTTTGATTGTTTGGCTTTCTTGTTGACCTTCTACAGCTTTTGGCTTTCAAGGAGGAAAGAGGCCAACACTTGGAAGGGAACGGAGTTAAGAAAGGAATTCCAGGATCCCAAATTTTCTAATGATAAACCCTCCTCATATTCACTTCTCTTCTGGAGAAGAGCCAAAGAGCCTGAGCCAAAAAGAGAGCTGGAATTACTAGAAGACTTGGCATTTCATAAGGGCATAATGGCCAGAAACAGGTATTCAGAAATGTGCCAAACTGGGCTTTAAATATGGAGCCAACCACAACTTCCTTGTCTATTATCTCTCCTCTCCTCTCCTGCCCTTCCTCCTCTCCTCTCCTCTCCTGCCCTTCCTCCTCTCCTCTCCTCTCCTCTCCTCTCCTGCCCTTCCTCCTCTCCTCTCCTGCCCTTCCTTCTCTCCTCTCCTCTCCTCTCCTGCCCTTCCTCCTCTCCTCTCCTCTCCTCTCTTCCTCCTCTCCTCTCCTCTCTCCTTCTCTCCTCTCCTCTCCTCTCCTCTCCTCTCCTGCCCTTCCTCTCCCTCTCCTCTCTCTCTCTCCTCTCCCTCCTCTCCTCCTCCCTCTCCTCTCCTTCTCCTCTCCTGCCTTCCTCCCTCTCCTCTCCTCTCCTCTCCTGCCCTTCCTCTTCTCCTCTCCTCTCCTCTCCTCTCCTGCCCTTCCTCCTCTCCTCTCCTCTTCTCTCCTGCCCTTCCTCCTCTCCTCTCCTCTCCTCTCCTCTCCTGCCCTTCCTCCTCTCCTCTCCTCTCCTCTCCTCTCCTGCCATTTTTCCTGTCCTGTCCTCTCTTCTCCTGTCAGGGTGCTTGAATCGCTATATTAAATCATTTAAAAGCAAAACAAAGAGAATTTCCCAAATGAGCTCCTAAAATCTGGCCATGCCCATGGATCTTTCAGGAGTAGATTGATTGATTGATCCCAGACAAAGGATAATTAAATGTGAATATGGCAATATTATTACATGAAAGAGGCATTATCAGAAGACCAATTTATCAATGTTAAAGAGAAAATAATTTTTAAACACAGTTGTGCACAACAACCTATGGTCGCTGCAGGTTCCTCAAGGGAAAAAAAAATCCACATAATATTGTGTGCTGCAATACTTCACGTTCACATACCTCACACTCACGGCTCCCACTCCACCGAGAGTTGCCATCTCTGGTCTACCTGATTTCTTCCAACTCTGGGACTGCATGATTTTATCTTGAAGGCTGGAAGATGCTATTAGGCTTCAGAGTGGTGGGATCTGAAAGGTGGAAAATAAGATTGTCCTTATCAGCATGACAATCCTGATGATTCTCAGCTTTTAGAAGTTTATACATGTCCACCCTTGAGGCTGCTGAAATTTGCTCCCCAGCTTTGGATGCACATAAATCCCACGTCAGCAGACAATCCTTCTGCTTTTTAAAAACCTTCCCATTTCGTAATTACATTCCCCATTAGATAAGCTGAATGCCACCTGAGCTTAGAATTTGCTTAGCACAAACTCAAAGGATTTCCTTTCTTCCTTCAGAATGAATAAGCTGTTACAGAAATGATTTTTAAAAGAGCAATCTTCCAATAAGTTTTACTTTTGTGCTACAACCTTAGATGGGCTTATAAATAACTTTATAGTCGCTTCCTGAGACACGAAGATAAAAAAAAAATGACCCTGAATTTTACAATTCTTGTTAAGTAGAGCCATGCTGGAAAGGATGCAGCATTTCACAAAACGTAAAAGAAGAAGGTGTTTGTAAGAGTTTACGCTGAGCATCTCCATGTTGCCTACTTTGATGTGAGATGCTAAAGAGAAACGCTGAGCTATGTTTTTTTTTTTTTTCAAAAGTCTACCTTGGGTTGGGAAAACATTTGTAAAGTTGGAATGTGGGAGAAAAAGAACGGTTAAGATGGGCGGATATTTTGGTAAGCAGAACATCACTTGATTTGAGGAACATTTGAGGAACACCACTGTTGCAACTTCTGAAAGAAGCCAAAGTCATCTCTTGAATCAAGAATTGGATTCTACATTGTCCCAAAAGGCCACATTGTGAGACAAAAGAGAGGAATGTGTTCCAAGCAACTGTTTAAGGATGTTGTTAAAGGGTAGTTCTCTCTTGAGTTGCCAGCCATAGAATCTTAGGATCAGAAAAAGCCAATGAAGGTTTTCAAGTCCGACTCTGCTCTGTGGGTAACTCTAGCTTAAAACATGATGGGTCTTCAGCTGTGCCTGGAGACACCCCCAAAAGGGGAAATCAACAGCATTCTCATAACTGACTCCACTGACAAATTTCTCGTTCATGAAGGATCTTGGCTAGTCTTCTGCAAGAAGCTGGACCTCTACAAGAAAAGGAAGAATGGCAAAATTTCTAACCAGTAGAAAATCAGCTTGTGCATAAGTCCTGAAAAGGGGGGATGACTTCAAGTACTATTTGAGAGGCATCATAGCTAAGTCAGAATATGGAAACAGCCCCAAAATCTCAAGGGACAAGTGTCCTTTTCTCATTCCCATGGCCCTTCTAGACATCTGTTTTGGAATTCTTTTTTCTGCTGGGCAATTCAGGGATAGTTCTACTGACAACATCGTAAGCATTGGACAGTTGGACAAGCACATTTGATAATGGTTCCTTCTATGTCCCTTCACCATCCTGATCTGTGACACCATCCCTAATGACATCTCTCTCTCTCTCTCTCTCACAAACACACGAGAGAGAGAGAGAGAGAGAGAGAGAGAGAGAGAGAGAGAGAGAGAGAGAGAGAGAGAGAGAGAGAGAGAGAGATGATAGATAGATAAATAGATCATGTTAATTTTCAGAAGGAAAGGAAGACCCTCAGAAGCTTCCAGGAGCTTTCACCAAGCTGATGTCTTGTCTATATTTCAGCCATCTGTTACTGCACTGGATGAATTTAGATTGATTGCAAAACAGCATTTGCAGTTGATAAAAACATCACATGATAGACAGTTGATTATTTCATATGATGTATCACTTGCAGTTTACATGGGTATTTTTTAAGGGTAGACAAGCTAAATTAGATAGGTGTTTGACCTCAACCAATTTATATTCTGAGATGGTTAGTGGAAGGAGACAGGGAAGTAAATATAAGGGAGGGGAGAGAATGCTGGGAAATTTGTTTCCTTTTCTCGTCTTAACTGGACGCAATAAAGGGACAGGACAAATAAATGAATTTATATTTCCCACCCAGTCATTTCTTGAACAAAACGTCTTGTGCATCCTGGCTATGTTTAGTCCTTTAATTCATCCTTAGGGAAAACTTGCCTTGAATTCCTTCTTTCCCTTATTTTTTACTCCTTTAGAACAAGAAAAATCAATTACCGAGATAGTTTGGGAGGGATAACTGGGGAGGCTGTTATGCTGTTCCAAGTCTTTAAAATTGATTTACAAAAGAGCTTTTATAGCCCCACTAAAAAGCCTGCCATCGCAAATGGTTCACAAAACTTTAACTGTATCGGGAGGGTTTGACTTATTCTTTCAAGAAGACGGGTCGTCTGAATTTTACACAGAAATTCTCTACCGTGAATCTTGTCTGAGGGTGGCTTTGATAGTTTGCGCCTTTAAAGTGGAGAAGGGCTGGGTTGAAGAAGGTGGAAAGGATACGGGAACAGGAAACGTCGAATTATGTTCACCTAAAATTGGTATATAAAAAAAATCTTGTGCAGGAAATGTAATTAGAAAAACAAAAAGGAAGGAGAAGAAAAGAGGAGAGAGATTACTCAACATGATGATGGGAGAAAGTGAACAGGAAACTTTATGCCCCAGAAACAGGATGTAATATTATTATATGTGATCTGGAATCACCCACAATCGCAAGCTTTGGTAAAAGCTACACCCTTTCCTATAACACTTCCTTTCTGATACTACTCAGTTGAAGGGGATATATCCACTAGTGATTTGGTTAATTAGCCACAGGGCCTAAGGACCAAATGACTGCAAATTCCAGCTATTTGAGTGACACCACCATCCATTAGCAGTGTCCATGCAGCCTGGGGCTGTTGAGGGTTTGGCTACTACATCATTACATGCATTATAATCTCTAAATTCATACATATGATGTCACAGTCTTCCTCTGTTACTACTGCATTCATTTTCCCCTTCTCTGCCCAACTACTTTAGCAGAGTGGTCCTACTAGGAGCAAAAGGGAAAGAGTCACCAATGAAAGTAGATTCTGAAAAGTGACACTGTAGACCCCTATTTGCTTGAC